GCTACTTTTTAGCCCAAAATTGGGCTACTTTCGCTACTTTTTAGCCCAAAATTTCGCTACTTTTTAGCCCAAAATTGGGCTACTTTCGCTACTTTTTAGCCCAAAATTTCGCTACTTTTTAGCCCAAAATTGGGCTACTTTCGCTACTTTTTGCCCAAAATTTCGCTACTTTTTAGCCCAAAATTGGGCTACTTTCGCTACTTTTTGCCCAAAATTTCGCTACTTTTGCTACTTTTTATCCCAAAATTGGGCTACTTTCACTACTTTTTCTCAAAATTTCGCTACTTTTTAGCTTAAAATTGGGCTACTTTTAGCCCAAAATTTCGCTACTTTTTAGCCCAAAATTGGGTTACTTTTAGCCCAAAATTTCGTTATTTTTTAGCCCAAAATTGGGCTACTTTTAGCCCAAAATTTCGCTACTTTTTAGCCCAAAATTGGGCTACTTTCGCTACTTTTTGCCCAAAATTTCGCTACTTTTTAGCCCAAAATTGGGCTACTTTTCACCCCAAAATTTCGCTGTTTTCGCTACTTTTTAGCCCAAAATTGGGCTACTTTCGCTACTTTTTGCCCAAAATTTTGCTACTTTTGCTACTTTTTAGCCCAAAATTGGGCTACTTTCGCTACTTTTTCCCAAAATTTCGCTACTTTTTAGCCCAAAATTGGGCTACTTTTGCTACTTTTAGCCCAAAATTTCGCTACTTTTGCTACTTTTTAGCCCAAAATTGGGCTACTTTCGCTACTTTTTTCTCAAAATTTCGCTACTTTTGCTACTTTTTAGCCCAAAATTGGGCTACTTTCGCTACTTTTTAGCCCAAAATTTCGCTACTTTTGCTACTTTTTAGCCCAAAATTGGGCTACTTTCGCTACTTTTTGCCCAAAATTTCGCTACTTTTTAGCCCAAAATTGGGCTACTTTCGCTACTTTTTGCCAAAAATTTCGCTACTTTTGCTACTTTTTAGCCCAAAATTGGGCTACTTTCGCTACTTTTTCCCAAAATTTCGCTACTTTTTAGCCCAAAATTGGGCTACTTTCGCTACTTTTAGCCAAAATTTCGCTACTTTTGCTACTTTTTAGCCTAAAATTGGGCTACTTTCGCTACTTTTTTCTCAAAATTTCGCTCCTTTTGCTACTTTTTAGCCCAAAATTGGGCTACTTTCGCTACTTTTTGGCCCAAAATTTCGCTACTTTTGCTACTTTTTAGCCCAAAATTGGGCTACTTTCGCTACTTTTTAGCCAAAATTTCGCTACTTTTTAGCCCAAAATTGGGCTACTTTCGCTACTTTTTGCCCAAAATTTCGCTACTTTTTAGCCCAAAATTGGGTTACTTTCGCTACTTTTTGCCCAAAATTTCGCTACTTTTGCTACTTTTTAGCCCAAAATTGGGCTACTTTCGCTACTTTTTCCCAAAATTTCGCTACTTTTTAGCCCAAAATTGGGCTACTTTTAGCCCAAAATTTCGCTACTTTTTAGCCCAAAATTGGGCTACTTTCGCTACTTTTTGCCCAAAATTTCGCTACTTTTTAGTCCAAAATTGGGCTACTTTTGCTACTTTTTAGCCCAAAATTTCGCTACTTTCGCTACTTTTTGCCCCAAATTGGACTACTTTCGCTACTTCTTAGCCCAAAATTGGGCTACTTTTGCTACTTTTTGCCCAAAATTGGGCTACTTTTGTTACTTTTTAGCCCAAAATTTCGCTACTTTCGCTACTTTTTAGCCCAAATTTGGGCTACTTTCGCTACTTTTTGCCCAAAATTTCGCTACTTTTTAGCCCAAAATTGGGCTACTTTTGCTACTTTTTAGCCCAAAATTTCGCTACTTTCGCTACTTTTTGCCCCAAATTGGACTACTTTCGCTACTTCTTAGCCCAAAATTGGGCTACTTTCGCTACTTTTTGCCCAAAATTGGGCTACTTTTGTTACTTTTTAGCCTAAAATTTCGCTACTTTCGCTACTTTTTAGCCCAAATTTGGGCTACTTTCGCTACTTTTTGCCCAAAATTTCGCTACTTTTGCTACTTTTTAGCCCAATTTCGCTACTTTTGCTACTTTTTAGCCCAATTTTGGGGTAAAACTTTTTAAAAAAAAAATTGGGCTACTTTTTAGCCCAATTTTGGGCTAAAAAGTAGCAAAAGTAGCGAAATTTTGGGCAAAAAGTAGCGAAAGTAGCCCAATTTTGGGCTAAAAAGTAGCGAAAGTAGCGAAATTTTGGACTGAAAAATAGCGAAAGTGGCCCAATTTTGGGCAAAAAGTAGCCCAATTTTGGGCAAAAAGTAGCCCAATTTTGGGCTAAGAAGTAGCGAAAGTAGCCCAATTTGGGGAAAAGAGTAGCGAAAGTAGCCCAATTATGGGCTAAACGGTAGCGAAAGTAGCGAAATTTTGGGCTAAAAAGTAGTGAAATTTTGGGCTCAAAGTAGCGAAATTTTGGGCTAAAAAGTAGTGAAATTTTGGGCTAAAAGTAGCGAAATTTTGGGTTAAAAAGTAGCAAAAGTAGCCCAATTTTGGGCTAAAAAGTAGGGAAAGTAGCCCAATTTTGGGCAAAAAGTAGCGAAAGTAGCCCAATTTTGCGCTAAAAAGTAGAAAAAGTAGCGAAATTTTGGGCAAAAAGTAGCGAAAGTAGCCCAATTTTGGGCTAAAAGTAGCGAAAACCGCGAAATTTTGGGCTAAAAAGTAGCGAAATTTTGGGCTAAAAGTAGCGAAATTTTGGGCTAAAAAGTAGCGAAATTTTGGGCAAAAAGTAGCGAAAGTAGCCCAATTTTGGGCAAAAAGTAGCGAAAGTAGCCCAATTTTGGGCTAAAAAGTAGCGAAATTTTGGGCTAAAAGTAGCGAAAGTAGCCCAATTTTGGGCTAAAAAGTAGCAAAAGTAGCGAAATTTTGGGAAAAAGTAGCGAAAGTAGCCCAATTTCGCAAGTTTAGCCCAAAAATGGGCTACTTTCGCTACTTTTTGCCCAAAATTTCGCTACTTTTGCTACTTTTTAGCCCAAAATTGGGCTACTTTCGCTACTTTTCTCAAAATTTCGCTACTTTTTAGCCCAAAATTTCGCTACTTTCGCTACTTTTTAGCCCAAAATTGGGCTACTTTCGGTACTTTTTAGCCCAAAATTTCGCTACTTTTGCTACTTTTTAGCCCAAAATTGGGCTACTTTCGCAACTTTTAGCCCAAAATTTCGCTACTTATTAGCCCAAATTTTCGCTACTTTTTAGCCCCAAATTGAGCTACTTTCGCTACTTTTTAGCCCAAAATTGGGCTACTTTCGCTACTTTTTGCCCAAAAATTCGCTACTTTTGCTACTTTTTTTGCCATTTTTGCAGCTGGCAGGAAAAATAGCGCGATTTTCGCCGCTACCGGCCAAAAACCGCGCGATTTTCGCCTCTAGCGGCCAAAAACCATGCGATTTTCGCAGCTGGCGGGCAAAACTCGCGATTTTCGCCGCTACCGGCCAAAAATAGCGCAATTTTCGCCGCTTGCGGCCAAAAACCGTGCGATTTTCGCCGGTAGCGGCCAAAAATCGGGCGATTTTTGCGGCTAACGGCCGAAAACCGCGCTATTTTCGACGCTAGCGGCCAGAAACCATGCGATTTTTGCAGCTGGCGGGCAAAAATCGCGCGAATTTCGCCGCTACCTGCCAAAAATCGACAGATTTTCGCCGCTAGCGGCCAAAAAAGGGGCTATTTTCGCCGCTAGCGGCCAAGAATGGGGCGATTTTCGCCGCTAGCGGCCAAAAATCGTGCAAATTTCGCCGCTAGCGGCCAAAAATCGTGCGAATTTCGCTGCTAGCGGCCAAAAATCGCGCGATTTTCGCCGCTAGCGGCCAGAAACTATGCGATTTTTGCAACTGGCTGGCAAAAATAGCGCGATTTTCGCCGCTACCGGCCAAAAACCGCGCGATTTTCGCAGCTGGCGGGCAAAAATCGCGATTTTCGCCGCTACCGGCAAAAAAATGCGCGATTTTCGCCGCTAGCGGCCAAAAACCGTGCGATTTTCGCCGCTAGCGACCAAAAATAGGGCGGTTTTTGCGGATACCGGCCGAAAACCGGACTATTTTCGATGCTAGCGGCCAGAAACCATGCGATTTTTGCAGCTGGCGGGCAAAAATCGCGCGAATTTCGCCGCTACCTGCCAAAAATCGACCGATTTTCGCCGCTAGCGGCCAAAAAAGGGGCTATTTCCGCCGCTAGCGGCCAAAAATGGGGCGATTTTCGCCGCTAGCGGCCAAAAATCGTGCAAATTGTGTTGCGACGCAAAATTTTTGTAAATTGCGCGTTATCTTTGTCGCATGGAGTGAAAGGTCTTCGTATTACTTTTCACTTGCTGCTACTATGAAAACCTTTATTTACATTGAGGACACTCTCAGGCTGACTTCACGACAATGTGCCATCCGTTCAACCCCTTCAACGTTCTATACACATTTGTCCTGTACACTTCCCCCAATTTTGTTTTATTCTTTTCAAGATGCACATACGTAGTAAATTAAACATTTCACCGATGCCACTACCATTATCAAACCCCTACTATACCACACACCAAGGGACACTAGTAAAGAGACACCAACATTAAAAGCACCAACAACAAAGAAACAGACGAATACGATGAATTTTTAACCAAGGAAACAGCAATAAATATGGTTAGAAAACTTATATACAACTGACCTAAGAAAAATGTAACTGCGTTAGAAAAACGCATCGTTAAAACACTAAGGTTCATGTTCATATTTATCATATTCCACAAGGTTGGATCTATTGATAATAAGTATTTAACACCACCTAGATGAGGATTACAATTTACAAATATTCCCTATAAACCAATTGCCTTCATTCAGTACAGCCTGTTTCACCAAAATGCTCTTAAGGTAATGTAATTATCAAAAGAAGGCACCAAACCGGGCCAAAATGCTCTTAAGGAACAAGGTGATCAGTCAACAACTTAAAACCCTCAGGAACAACCCTTCTAACAACATTAACCACGAAGTGTTACTGTCAAACTTACATCAAGAGGACTAAAGCCATTTGGGACATGTAGTTCATACACTTCATATCCAATAAGAACTTTATTAACAAACCTTCAAATTCTAGCCACCGTCACAGACACTGGGCCTAGACAATGTTACAACAATAAACATGGCATTTTAGACAAACTGTGCATAGCCAGCCGTTAAAGAATACACAAACCGCTGTAAACATTAACGTCTATAATTAAGGGATATTTATTCCAATACGAACAACATTTATCGGAACCACATTGATACCTACAGAAAACCAGCCGAACAATAGTCATAACACCATACACCAGATATTAAACATAACAGAGGGAACAGGTTCTATAGTTCTAAGAACAGTTTCAAAGTACACAATACACAGATTTACAACTTTCCTTTATTTTGCATCTTGCTCCCCAATTTTGCAGTCCGCTTCACCGGCCTTCTTACTGCTACAGCCACCCGTCTTCATCCATTTTCTGTGCTGCGTCTGTAAAGTTAAAATGTTTATCAATTTCAATATTCACGTTTCTCTACTTGTCCTTCCAACAAGCTAGAGTAACTACACACCAAACTATTTCCTACTACAAACTATTCTCTAACCACCATTCTACCACAAATCTACGATGTTGTAAAAGTTATCGTTAGTAGTCACGTTTCTCCCTTTATACTTTTACACGTTTTCACTAACAAATGGCCCGTCAACCATACTTCATCGAATACCAATTTATACCATTTGACATTAAAACTGCTAAACACTTACCGTTATAGTCAACTGAAGAATATGTACATTCCTTCATTCTTCTTAACATTTACACTAACCAGTAAGAAACTGCAGTATTCTTGCAAACTCTACGTTCAATATTTCTAGTGGCAAATTCTAGTGGTGTAGAAGCAACACCTTCCACAGTTCGTCACCCCCACCCCCCTGCTAACTATTCATAATGCCCTAAACTATTTTCACCGATCACTATTAGGTCCTCCCAATTACAACGCCATTCATCCTTTACACTATCTTTGAATCGTGCTGCTTCAAAGCGCATCTATCGATATTTCCCTACTAATTATGGTAGCCTATTCCATTAATTTCTATATTTTAACTGGCATTTTTACTGCCTCCTAAACCAAAGTCTCATAACTAGGACAAGTAAACTAGTTAATACTAACCGTTTCTAATGTCCCACAGATGCTCTTTCTATAATTCTGCAGAATATCCTTTCCAACAGTTTCCTGCTAAATTATAAATATTAACTGAAAGTTTTAACAACTTGCCTTTTCTTTCAGATATTCCTGCAACGTTGTCAGGCGCCCCGTGTTCAACACTGTCCAACCACCTCTTATCGAGACTTGCAACTACGTCACGTCAGAACTAGTTCCGTGCCTTGTGCGCCTGACTAGTCCTCCGTTCACAAAGTTATTTCTCAAGAAGACTGTTGGCCAATGTCGCGCCAGACCCTAGAAAAAAAACTAAGTTACTTATACCATTACAATGTTTTATAAAGTATCAAATAAATTTATGAAAAGGTCTTACGGTTATTTTTGTTCAACAAATTATAATTTCTCTGTATAACATTGTATACCCTCGTGTCTTTGTAATCTGATATATAGGGCAACACCAGGGTACAAACTTTAGTACTAAACCTTTTGCAATAAATTTAAATTCTTAATTTGTTTGATACATTCGTCCTAATAGCTTTTAAGTTGCCATTCCAAACAATATCACCACGCATTCTAGTGACTACCGATACCATGACATTAACATGACCCCACAAGACGTGGCATGTCCACTAGTAGCCCGTAAATTAGCGACATGCCAACACTTACAAAATTGACTGTCTGGGAAAACAATGTGATCCCAGACACGCAGATTTCTACATTTACCAATTACGGCCCCACAATATGTATTAACTTTACCGAAAGCTTTACAATACAACTTTCGCACTACTGGAGAAACCACATGAACTAGGAAAATTGCCCAAGTAGTGGGGGTGGGGTGGAAGGAAGATTTAATACAATACCAAAATAAAATTTCAATTTCTACCTAACGACAAACTATTAGAACTACTGTACCTGAAAATTTGTTTACCCGCTGCAATGGACACTACAGATATCAAGACTGAAGAAATTCAAACCTGCATAACTTACCAAATACCCGGTCCAAACCTTACCAAAGTAATTCAGATGAAATTGGTTCCGCGAATTACATTACAGAAATCCACACCCACCTGTTAAATAAAAAAAAAAAGTGGGTTTAATACCATTAAGTTTTAAAAGCGTCAAGATTCATCGAAGCAGCCTAGTTCTGCGAGCCTTGGGGGGTGGGGGGGGGGCTGTGAAAACACCCTCAGACCATTAAGCCACAGTAGATACCCATAAACTGCCACTAACTACTACCAACGCCACAGGAATAAGCTGTACATTTAGTGCCTTACAGTACCTACAAGCCATTTAAATAATATGACAGCTGGCTCTAAAACCTTGAGCTACAAATCCCAAAATTCTGCAGTAATTTTTATCCTTTACACCCTCATCCTTTACTCATTACTCTATTGCATTTTAAACAGGCCAACATACTTAAATACCTTACGTACTGCCCAGATATTTAGACTTGTAACGGTTCTATTGTTACGTAAAGCCACCCAAGAGGTGGCACGGGCATGAATAGCCCGTAAAGGTTAATGTTTGCTATCCTGCTGCTTATATGCCCGGGCAACTCCTCACCGTATTGCCCGGGCAACGCCTCACCTCATTCATCTCCAAAGGTTGACAGGAATATTAACAATGCATTTGGAGCGAGTATATTATTGGATAATCTACTCGCTACAGAACTCCCCCTCCCAGGGGATGAAAGGAAAAATACTTGATCAAGGAACTTAGCTGGTCAGTGAATTATACGCCCTGCTCGCGTTACATAACCATCAAAGTTAACTTCCTCCTCTTCGCTGATGTCATCTAACTGGGGTCGTAGGGTGGGAGGTCGCACGTACAGGATCGTCCGTCGTCGTAGATCAGGTTGCGGTGCGGCTGGTAACTGGGGTCGAAAAGTGAACTGCGTAGTCGGCGGATGTGTCTCTGGATTTAGCAGTGTCGCAGACGTTGAGACGAAGCCTGGAGCAGAGCAGAGAGCTGAGTGAGGCCGGAGTCGTGGAGCTCTATGTGGGAGAGCGTGGCGGCTCGATTGAGATTTGTGTCTAAACTCTGGGAGCGAGAGCGTGGCGGCTCGATGCGGTCGTAGTCTGCTGTCTGCTCTGTGTCGAAGCTGTAGCGTCTTGGGTTGATTAGGACTGTACACCCCGAGTACTACATTGTTGACTGGAAATTGTAGTCTGGTACCAAAAGATGTAGGCAGTGTGTGGACAAGCTCGGTGTAGCAGGAGAGAAGAATGTGCATAATTGTTGCGTCCTTGGGTCGCTGGTGGAGCATTTAGATCCGGGGCGGATGGGCTCGGGCACCAGGACATTAGGAGGTAATGTAGGCACGTAGTTAGGACAACGAGGGAATCACTGCTAGAGCTGAATTGTCCTGGAGGCGACGAAGAGTCGGAAACGCAAGCTGTAAGTCCTGTACTGCGCAAAGGGCTTGAGTCGGCAGAGTATCAAAATGCAGTGAACGTGTAGATGAATCTGACGAAAGAGCAGCTTTCGTGGGCGCCCCTGTAGAACAAGCAGTGCCCTGGCAGCGACGGAGAGTCGGCAGGGCAGGCTGTAGATCCCACATTATGTAGTTACTGATGAAGCTGCCAGATGAGTGAGTAGTGATCGTGGAGCAGCAAGCCGTAGTAGATGAAAATGCAGAGATGATCGCGATGAAAATCATAGCTGTGGCAAGGGTGTTGGCAACGTTCCACGACAGGTGGCTGCAGTCCACAGCAAGCAGCAGCAGTGGAGGTCCAGTGAGAGTCCATGTTGTAGTCCATCGTGGCTGGGTATCGTCGAAACTCTCTGGGGTCACCAATGTAACGGTAGTCCATCGTGGCTGTCGTCGGAACAGTCCCGCCCGTTCTAATGCAGATTTAAACAAAATTGTGGACCAGCCACTTAATGCTGTACGGCTAAATCTAGAACAAGGCTAATTATTAATACTATTGTTAGGATACGTCAACTATGTTTCCATGTAAATAACTTCAATTCTACCATACGCCACCCAAATATCACCATCCCTCTGAAGGCATCACAGATAACAGAGCCCACATTACGCTACGCCAACAACCAGGTCACACCATAATTAAATATCGACACCTTATATGAGTTAATACATAGAGCAATAAAGTCCATGGTAACCTTACCTGATGACCGGTATAGCTGCAAATGATGTAAGAAGCGGGACACCTCCCAAGGAACTACGTCTGCTGGCTGTCAGCCCGACACTGAAGCGGCGCCGGCCGCTCCTGACCTTCTTGCCCAACACAGCGTTATTGGTGACGTCACAGTGCTTAACGACCATATCCTCGTGCTGTGCTATGTATATGTTTATCTCTCAGAATGTTCGCTAATACGTTTATTGCTTGTGATGTGTGTCTATGTATGTATTAACACGATGTACTGAACGGGGTGAGAATAGCTTGAGCTACCTCATCCCTTTGTGTGTATTTTACCCGAATAAACTTATTTCAATTTCAATTTCTCGTGCTGTGCTAGTTTGCGCTCCAATGTTTTACATTCCGTTAGTTACTTTTAATCAGTAATATTATAATTTAATATAATAAGTAATAAGCAATATACTGATTTACTTTAATCAGTATATTATAAATCAAAACAGGGGATAAAAGCTTTCAAGATTCATAAATAATGGATTCAGGAACTCGTCCCGTGGTCTACATACAGCCTATAGTAATTTTCGCCATTTTAATACTATATTAGCAATGTCAGACTGATTATTTTTAATAGAAACACAAGAAAAGATGCCAGTATTTTTGATTGGCACTGTGTGTTAAGATTTCCTTAGCTAAGAATATTCCTTAACAATTTAGAGAGACTTGCAGTTTTAATTCTTTATAAAATATGCTGAAATATGGTTTAGAAACTAATTAAAGTCTTAAGTGCTCTTCGTCAGTCCTAATCAAGGCTAATATACTTTGAATACAGTAACAATGCAAGCCATAATATCAACATTGTCAGAGGCTGTCATAAGGTGCAGATGTTTACTGGGAAAAACTGTAAAACAGATAATATATAAAAACATGTATATACATTATGTCCAAACCTATGTACAGTCCTTTATAATCATAAATATCTTGAAATTTATGTTATTTTGGTCATTTGGTCTCTTATTCTGCCTTTCACAAATTAGTGTGATAAATTTGAAATCATAATCTACAATATGTATTTGTTATTGACCTATAAATCTTTGCTAACAATTTATAAAGGAATCTGGAAAACACCTTATAATTACTGATGGACTACCCGTTGTGCTGTGAATGAGACTTGCCGCACCGTAGGGCGGTGTGTTGTGTTTAAGGATCAGCTGACGCCATAAACACAACACACCGCCCTACGGTGCGGTAAGTCTCCCTCTAACACACACCTCTGTTTTAATCACCGTTCCTCTATCTACAGCACAAAGCAACAAGCACCTTGGTAGCTCCGATCATCTTCAACATAAACGCGTCCAACAACATCAGTACTGGTGCAGTCATCGGGAGGACAAACCCTTCATGCACACTGCACCTACTATCAACAAGAAGAAGAATCTCGCAGACATTACCTTTCCAATGCTCTCCTCAGCCGATGTCGCTTTGTCTTAGATCACTCACCCCCTCTTTACACTCCCAGTTGACACTCTAAAATCTTTGGCTCTTGCATCCTTGAAGGTGAAGTCTAGGCTCCACCCTTAAAGGCACCTTGCCCTCAAGCTCTACCCCTTCCTAGCCCCACAATCGTCGTCACCCCTAAATTAACAAATGCACCCCTTCCTGGGTCTACAACCAATTTACTGAACATAATGGGCTGTGTTGCACCACACAACTCCCCCATGCTCGAGTGGGGGAGTTGTATATATTGACATCACTCGAGTGCATTTTTTTTTTGTGTAAAACCCTGGTTTGTGTCTCGGAGAGGCTGCAGGATCCAAGTAAGTTCAGTAGAATGTCTGGTTTCAACTCTTTTTTTTTTTTTTTTTTACCATGTCGTAGCTCAGTTGATTAAGGCAGCGTCTGGGATGCTCTCGGACGTAGGTTCGAATCCTCGTCACGGCCCTTGTGGATTTGTTCATCATAATAATAATTCATGCCTGTGCCACATCTTAGGTTGCTTTATCAATCAATCAATCATCCAGAGACACTTCAAGATGTTACACGACCAAAAGACCACATTCGCTTCACCTATGGGCTGATCATGCCTGTGCCATCTCTTGTGGTGGCTTAATCTTCAACAATAACAATCAATTGTCATCAGTTTAACTCCTCTTGACTATTGTGGCTTGAGAGATACCACACATCTTCAACATTCACCCACAACAATATAACACTCAAGAGTCCAGTTCCTACCCTCACAAGACTCTTCAGCCTCGACACAGAGCAGACAGCCAGACCCCAGCTAAGTGTAAACCTAGACCATTGAGATAGTGAATGCTTCCCTACCTTATAATTCTTTCCATGAGCTTGCAAAATGTCGTGTCAAGCTGATCGGCTTATGTGTGGTGCTTCTATAATTCACTCTAAATGTAAAATAGGCCTAATAATAAAAGTAAGATACAGTATATTGCTGAAGAAGGATATTAAAATTCGTATCTGTGACGCAATCCAATATATTTTATTCTACTGGAATAAATTTCCAATAGCAAAATTCATTAACATTCCTAAAATGACCTCAAATATTCAATAAAAAAATAAGAAAGAATTATACAATGTAACAGAAACAGAAACTTGACAAGTTTACTACCGGACTTGACGTCTGTATAAAAAATAAAATCACAAGAACAGTAGTATCACGGACTCTGACCTAGATGCTGGTTCTTATGGAATCTAAATTAATATACAGTAATATATATATAAATTTACAGTCTGATATTCAGGTTAATCTGATATCCCTTCTTTATATTAATACTTTAGTCTTTGTTAATGTACTTTTTACAAAATAGAAAATGTATTATGTTAATTGTGTACTTTGTCAGAAATGTGAATCCCACACATCCAATTAGTTCTGAAAAATGCATAGTCAAACATAAGAACATAAGAACATAAGAACAAAGGTAACTGCAGAAGGCCTATTGGCCCATACGAGGCAGCTCCTATTCTATAACCACCCAATCCCACTCATATACTTGTCCAACCCGTGCTTGAAACAATCGAGGGACCCCACCTCCACAATGTTACGCGGCAATTGGTTCCACAAATCAACAACCCTGTTACTGAACCAGTATTTACCCAAGTCTTTCCTAAATCTAAACTTATCCAATTTATATCCATTGTTTCGTGTTCTGTCCTGTGTTGATACTTTTAATACCCTATTGATATCCCCCCGGTTATGTCCATTCATCCACTTGTAAACCTCTATCATGTCACCCCTAACTCTTCGCCTTTCCAGTGAATGCAACTTAAGCTTTGTTAATCTTTCTTCATATGAAAGATTTCTAATTTGGGGAATTAACTTAGTCATCCTACGCTGGACACGTTCAAGTGAATTTATATCCATTCTATAATATGGTGACCAAAACTGAACTGCATAATCTAAATGGGGCCTAACTAGAGCAAGATATAGCTTGAGAACCACACCAGGTGTCTTGTTACTAACGCTGCGATTAATAAATCCAAGTGTCCGATTTGCCTTATTACGAACATTTATGCATTGATCCTTTTGTTTTAAATTCTTACTAATCATAACTCCCAGATCCCTTTCGCAATCCGACTTCGCAATCACAACACCATCTAGCTCGTATCTTGTAACTCTATCATCATTACCTAACCTCAGAACTTTACATTTATCAGCATTAAACTGCATCTGCCAATCCTTTGACCATTTCAAAACCCTATCTAGATCAACTTGAAGTGATAGTGAGTCCTCCTCCGAATTAATTTCCCTACCGATTTTCGTATCATCGGCAAATTTGCAAATGTTGCTACTCAAACCTGAATCTAAATCATTTATATATATTATAAACAACAGAGGTCCCAGGACAGAGCCTTGAGGCACTCCACTTACAACATTTTCCCACTCTGACTTGATTCCATTTATACTAACTCTCTGTTTCCTTTGGTATAGCCATGCCCTAATCCAGCTTAATATAGCACCCCCAATACCATGAGACTCTATTTTTTTAATCAGTCTTTCATGTGGCACTGTATCAAAAGCTTTGCTAAAGTCAAGGTATACAACATCGCAATCCTTACCACTATCAACTGCCTCAACAATGCTAGAATAAAAAGATAACAAATTTGTTAAACATGAACGGCCATTTATAAAACCATGTTGCGACTCAATTATTAATTTATGTTTTTCAAGATGAAGACGAATTTTATTTGCTATTATAGATTCGAGTAACTTTCCCACAATAGACGTTAGGCTAATTGGTCGATAGTTAGACGCAAGTGATCTATCTCCTTTCTTAAAAACTGGTATCACATTAGCAACTTTCCAAAACTCTGGCACTCTGCCTGACTCTATTGATTTATTAAATATGGTTGACAGTGGGTCACAAAGCTCCTCTTTGCATTCTTTAAGCACCCTAGCAAACACTTCATCCGGCCCTGGGGATTTGTTTGGTTTGAGTTTTACTATTTGTTTAAGAACATCCTCCCTGGTAACTGCTAAACTCGTCAACCTGTCCTCGTCCCCACCCACATAGACTTGTTCGGCTGAAGGCATATTGTTAAGTTCCTCTTTAGTAAATACAGATACAAAATATTTATTAAAAATACTACTCATCTCTTCATCACTATCTGTTATTTGACCTGTCTCAGTTTTTAATGGACCTATCCTTTCCCTAGTCTTAGTACGATATAACTGAAAAAACCCTTTAGGATTTGTCTTTGCTTGCCCTGCTATGCGAACTTCATAGTTTCTTTTTGCTTTCCTTATCTCTTTTTTAACATTTCTAACCAGTTGTACGAATTCCTGTTCTAAAGTGACCTCCCCATTTTTAATCCTTTTGTACCAAGCTCTCTTTTTACCTATAAGGTTCTTCAAATTCTTTGTTATCCACTTTGGGTCATTAGTATACGATCTATTCAATTTGTATGGTATACTACGTTCCTGTGCTTTGTTTAGAATATTCTTAAATAAGTTATATATTGAATCCACATCGAAATCCCCATTTAAGTCACCTAACGCTGGGTTCATGTCTCGCTCCAAGACCGGCCCACACCCCATACCCAAGCCTTTCCAATCAATTTGACCCAAAAAATTTCTTAGGCTATTAAAATCAGCTTTTCGAAAATCTGGCACTTTAACAGAATTTTCTCCTACTGGTCTATTCCATTCTATGCTAAATCTGATTTCTTTGTGATCACTGCTCCCT